GGACACTTTGTCATGATGGGAAACGGAGAATAAGAAGAGGTCCTAGAAGTAGGAACTTACCAACTCACAATGCATAATGGGAAAAAATGGCTCTTACATGATCTGCTTTATCCTCCGTCCGTACGATGTAATCTACTTTTAGTTTTAGTATTGATGAGTTTAGGATTTAATTTTACCTTCGAGAATTATAGTTTGTCTATTTTTCTTGAAAACACATTTTTTGATCATGGTTATTTTAAAGACGGTTTGATTATGTTAGAATTGAATTCTAATAATGATGTTGATTTTGTTTCAAATTCTTCTTCTAATGTTATAAATGATTCTGTGAAATGGCATGCTAAATTAGGACATATTGGGCAAAATAGAATGTCCAGATTGGCTAGAGAAAGGTTATTGGGATCAATCACCAAAGTTAAACTTCCTACATGTGAGCCATGTCTTGCTAGTAAGTCCATCAGAAAGCCTTTTGGGAAGGCTAAAAGGGCCACCCATCTTCTAGAACTTGTCCATTCAGACATTGTGGGCCTATGAATGTAAAGGCATGTAACGGCGCATCCTATTTCTTTACATTCATAGATGATTACTCATGATATGGATCCATATTTCTGTTGTCTCCCCGTTCTAAAGCTTTGAATTGTTTTAAACACTTTATGGCAAAGGTTGAGAATCAGAAAGAAAGGAAACTTAAGGTTTTTCACACTGATAGAGGTCGTGAATATCTATCTGATCAATTCAAAGAGTTATGTGAGGAAAAGGGAATACTTCGACAAATAATGACACCTAGAACTTTGCAACAAAATGGTGTTATGGAAAGAAGGAATTGTACCTTGTTAGACATGGTTAGGTCAATGATGGCACAAGCCAACCTTTCAATAAGTTTTTGGGGGGGGATGCCTTTTTGACTGCAACTCCATGTGAGTTATGGAATCAAAGTAAGCCCAACTTAGAAGGCTTATGTCCTTGAGGATCAGCTGGGTACATACATCACTCATCTCATAAGTATGGGAAACTTGGTCCTAAAGCTAATAAGTGTATAATTATTAGATATTCAGAACGTTCTAAGGGCTACGTGATGTATGGAGAACACCCTGATAGAGGGCTAACTGAGATGGAATCTCGTGATGTTGATTTTCTAGAAGGTGATTTCCCAACCATAGGTGAGGTTAAAGAAAACCTTGAGCTTTATGAGATGGAAGAGCCTTAAGAAAATGTATCCCAACATAGGAAATGAATATGAAGACACATCTTATCCAAGAGACTGTAGAGGTCAGTGGGAGTACACCATTTGAGTTCCACCAAGATTCACAGTTGCAAAGAAGTGAACATGGTCAAATACCTCATAAATGATTTGAGATAGAAGGTCAGTCTTTCTTAAACATTCCTGTGGATGTTGATGAACCATCTTTCTATGAGGAAGCTTTAAACTCACCATCCTCAAACAAGTGGCTTACTGCTATGGAAGATGAAACAAAATCCATGACTGAAAACCAAGTATGGGAGTTAGTTGACCTTCCCCCTGGGTGCAAAGCAACCGGAAACAAATGGCTTCTGAAGGTAAAGTGCAAAGCAGATGGATCACTTGAAAAATATAAGGCTCGTTTAATGGTAAAAGGCTATACCCAAAATAAAGGTGTGGATTATGAAGAGACGTTTTCTCTTATGGTGAGATTTGCATCAATTCGCCTTATCTTGGCTATAGTGGCATATCTAGATTTGGAATTGCTCCAAATGGATGTGAAATTGCTCTCAATGGAGAAATCAATAAGGAAATTTACATGAATCAACCCATTGGTTTTCAAGCCAAAGGAAAAGAACACAAAGTGTGTCACTTGAAACGTTCTATCTATGGCTTAAAACAATCATCCTAACAATGGTATCTTCGTTTTCATCAAGCCATCATTTCCATGGGGTTTGTGATGATTGAAAAGGACCATTGTGTATATGTAAAGAGATTAGGGAATAAGCTCCTTATTCTTTCATCATATATGGATGATATCCTTTTAGTCGGGAATGACATGGAGTTAATTGTCACCACTTAAAAATGGTTGTCCTCCACTTTCAAGATGAAAGACATGGGACAAGCTGAATACATCCTTGGGGTTAAGATCTCGAGAAATCGTTCTAAGAAGTTATTGAGTTTGTCTCAAGAAAATTACATTCAAAGGGTTTAGGGTCGATTTCGTATGCAAAACTCCTAGCCTGTAGACACTTCAATGGAGAAAGGTTTATATCTCAGCATGGAACAATGTCCTAAAACCAAAGAAGAAAAGAAACAAATGGCAAATGTACCATATGCAAGTGCTATTGGAAGTTTGATGTACGCTATGATGTGTACCCAACCGGACATATGCTTTGCAGTTGGTATGGTTAGTAGGTACCAAAGCAATCCTAGGATTACCCATTTGGCTGCAGTCTAACAGATACTACAGTATTTAAGAGGAACCACTAATTTGACTTTGTGCTATCAAGGTGGAAATTTAAAATTAGTCGGATATAGTGATGCTAATCATGCCGATGATAAAGATGATCGGAAGTCTACTTGAGCATATGCTTTTATACTTGGAGGAGGAGCTATTTCCTGGAGTAGCAAAAAGCAGCTTTGTACTGCTTTATAAACTATGGAAGCAAAGTACGTAGCACATTGTGCTGTAGTATAAAAGGTGGTTTGGTTAAGGATATTCTTACAAAGTTTGAACATTACTAGGCATCTTAGTGAAGCTATTGTACTTTATTGTGACAACCTAGCTGCCATAGCTTATGCAAAAGATCCTAAGTATCACGGAAAAACCAAACACATTGATACTCGCTATCACAACATTCGTGACATCACTGCACAAGGTCTTGTTAAGTTGAAGTATATTTCCACAACTAATATGTTAGCAAATCCATTCACTAAACCTATTGCTCGAAATGCTTTTCAAAAGCATATTAGAGGTTTAGCATTATTACGCATTTGATATTTCTGTACTATTGTTTCTGAACAATTAATAAATTAAGTCTATTTTGAATCATTTCAAAATTAGGGCACATATCTAAAGTAATTATTGTCACCTGGCTTTATAGATTATTCCTCATATGGGATAATCACCCCGACGCCTCAATAGTGTGTGGGATGAGACTCAAATGATCACAAGGTACCAAGCATGTTGTGATCTCCTTGTCACATGAGTTGTGAGCAAGGATCTTAGCAATGTCACCTTGACTTAGAGTCAAGTTGAGGCTCATAAGAGTCAAACATGGAGATTATCCATATTCCATGTAGCCAGTAATAGTCGAATTTGAATCTTAGGGGATTCAAGTCAATCCTTTTGTAGGGATTGGACCGAGATCTGTATGGTGGTTTCTACGTGACAAATCCTAAATGAAAGATGCACCATAACGTACATTTCATATTGTATGTGCTATTAGTCGACCGATGGGAGGGAGTGATTGAATAGATCCCTGCTTCATCACTGTGTGAGCCTTGAGGACTTATGTAGTCCAAATTTTATACCCTTTAGACTTAGATCTATGATATGAAGTTGAGATTTGATGTTGCTACTTTAGAATGATTTCTAAGGGTCAAAAATGATATGACCTAGCAGAACATGACAAAGAAAGTAGTCAGATCTTAATGGATTGACATGAGTATCCAAGGAAGAGTCATTATACATCTCACATACATGGTCTGTAACTCATTGCCCAAGCAGTTATAAAAAACATTAGTTGTTGGATATAACCATGAGTTTAGACACATAAAGAGATTCTGCATAGCTCTTACATGTAGGAAGGATCAGAGATGCAAAATCTTGTGTGATTAAAATGATTTGGGGTATGACGAGAACTCGAGCGGTGTTATGTTAGTAAGATGGTAACTTAATATCTCACTACTCATCGGTACCTTTATTTTCTCGTTGGTCACACGTTCTATTTTTCCTCTATGACAATGAATGGAGAATGAGTTATATTGAGAATGGTATAAGTTGATGCCAATGTGTAGAGTAGGAGATGTTTCATTTAAATGTGATGCATCCACATAGCATGTAGCTTTATTAATTATTTGTGGATAATTAACTAATATTCAATTGATTAATATTAGATATTGTTCTGATATAATTTAATTGAATAATTAATAATAAATGTTTGAGATAGGATATAAATTTAAATTTAATTTGTTTAAATTTAAATAAAGATTAATTATATTTAAATTTTAATATAATAGCTTATCTCTATATTCCTAATGCGTCTATAAATAGTACATAGACGTAGTAATTTCAACACAGCCAAAGAAACACACAGCCAAAGAGTGAATGCGAGTTCTTCTGTAAGTCAGAAAAAGCAAAAACTTTTTTCTCCTTTTTTTCGATCTCTTCATTCTTGAGGCACCATCAAAGGCCAGGATGTTTTAGAACGTGTAATTCCTTATGAAGGGCTCTAATAGTTGCTCCATAACAACGAGAGTGAAGAAATTATTGTGTACACGAAGAAGGATTTGTAACGCAAGCATCTTCGATCAAAAAGGGAGTGAAATATTTATTTGAAAAGGTAAGCCCACTTTCCAACGCTGATTGTATAATTTAACTTAAAAAAACATAAAAAAACCTGAAATACCAATTTTATATTTAACTTAAAGAGGGTTAAGAGCAAATCAAACACTCAAAAATTGGTTTAGTTAGGTTAAAACCTAACGAGTGATGACAACAGACAAAAGTTCCATTGTCATGTTAGGAAACAAATTGATGAAACATTCAATGAAATATATAAATATATTTTTCATTTGTGTTCGATTGATATTAAACCAATAACTTATAGTGCTAAATTAATTCCAAACAAACCAATTAAAGTGAGACATATGCTTATCGGAAAAAAAAAAGAAAGTAAAATGAGAAAAATAATCTTTCACTAGTAAAAGTAGGATACTCTTAGAAGAGTTTGGCTTTTGAAATAATATTTTTGATTAAATTTTAAACCCAAACTCATAATCCAACCAACAATTAAACCCAAACACCAGTTCAAGGGCGTTAGGAGAAACAGATTCATAGAATTTCAAGGACAATAACTTAAGATCGTAGAAATACAACATGTTCTCCCAACTGTTTCAAAGTTGCTGTTGTCCGAAAATTTCTACTCTCGCAAGTATTTTATTCAATCTCTCTAGTCTCAGGAGGTGTGATAATAAAATGTAAGAACTTATCTATCGGTAGGTATCCTGACACTCAGAATCATAGCTAACAAGAATAATTTAAAAACAGAAAATTACACATCGGTCGATGCCGAAAAAAGATGTTGAGTTGCCCAAACTTTTGGCTTAGTAGGTGTAGCCCTCGACAAACATTCCTTTCTTAGCTTCCTCACTTTCACCCTCAGCAGCGTATTTTCCAAGCTGAGCCAGTGAGTTTGCCTTTGCGCGCACCAAAAGAGCCGTCTGTGCAGCTTCAACATTCTCAGGACGTCCTTGCCATGTCTTAAGCACAGTGTTCTGCAATGCACGTGCGTAGGAGAAAGAAACATGCCATGGGTTGGGGCTCTGGTTCATTGCATTCAAGTTCAACGTGGCTTCCACCTCAGACTGTCCTCCAGACAAAAACTGTGATACAAACAAAGGCATACACCTAATTAATCAAAAATTCTCTACATAGATCAAAGGCATCTATCACTGAACAGAACAATAGAGCAAAAGGCAGAGATAAAACATCCTTTAAAAGTCCAGATATATCAAGAAGAACTTGCATGATGAACATCTAAGACTGTTTTCCATTTCATTCCAGCCACAAACATCATTAGGGTTTTCTTATCCATGCCAATGTCAAGCTCAATGTCCACATCACCTAGGAAAGTAACTGATTTAAGTATTAAACATTAAATGTGAATAAGATTTTTAAAGGTACCATGATTCCTGGAACAGCCGGTGGAACTCTCCTTCTGAGCATTGTGAGTGTATATTTGGCAATAGTGTCTGGAGAAGCCTTCTCCTTGTGTTCAGCCCCTGGAGTTACCATGCTGGGCTTAAGTAAGATGCCCTCAAACATAACATTGTTCTCAGCCAAGTAGTAAAAGACTTCTGCCCAGACTTTCTCAGCTACTTCAAGGGTCCTCTCAATAGGGTGGTCACCATCAAGAAGAATCTCAGGTTCCACTATTGGTACGAGACCATTGTCCTGGGAATTAATTCACATTAAAAAAAGAGTGAGCTTGATACACAAACCAATTACAATATTAAATAAGACCGAGTAACAACGAATCTGGTCAACACATAACTCATTCAAAACTCCATGGACATGCAGAAGAATAGTGCTATTCCCACTCAGATCAAGACATAAATTTGACTTGTTCAAATAACAAGTAAGGTGAAGCAGGGTCAGGAACAATGATTCCCTTTTTAATAAACAGATCCATTTTGCAAGTTCTTTATTACAAGTAGTACTTACAAAGGGTCGGACTATTGACATATAGAATACTTGAATCCTTAATGTAGATGTTACATGGTTGGTTCTCATCTTTAAAAGACAACAAGTCTAACAGGAGCATCCATCAAGAAAAGGAGCACCCTAAGCTGATCATCTCATGGCTATTGAGAATAAATCAATCAGATAATTCTATTTCTCAATCTTTCTGACTCGCTCTTACAGAATCAAAAGGTCAAAAAGATTAAGAAAAATCAGTCATTCAACCCCCTAATAAAGGATTCCTCAAAAACTTAAAGATTAGTAATTGATTTTAGAAATTGGATGGGTTTGATCTTATACATAAGCAAGCGAGGTAATTGAAAGAAGAGAGAGAATTCGAGAAGGCAGCTGAAAATCAATCTAATTTCCATACATAGAATGAAGAAAATATTGAAATTTAGAAATTCGATTTTGAGTAGGAAAATAAAAAGCCTTGCATTTATTTTAGTAAGTTATAAGAAGTTACTGTAACAGATACCTGAGAAATGGCAGCATAACGTGCAAGTCCCCATGCAGCTTCCTTTACAGCCAAAGCAGAAGGACCACAGGGAATGCTAACAACTGTCCTCCTAAGTATTATAATAATATAACATGGCAGAAGCAATTCGTGAATGTGAATTATAACATATATATGCATATATATATCACTAAAATAAAGGAATTATTGAAGAACAAGAAGTTTCATGGGAACTTCATAAGGCACAATCTAACAAGGTTAAATTGACTTACCACTTGGCAAACCGAGCACCTTGTTTGTAGTACTCAGCAGATCTCGACGACAATCCATCCAAGCCTTGGCACCAAGATTCGTTGTTTGATCCTGGAAGAGGAACCAATCCCTGAAACACCAGGAAAGTAAAAAATTCAATCAAAGCAGCACCCACAAAAGCATTTTCCAAAGCATATACACATGTGGAATTCATTAGTGTCGCACCTTATCAACTTTGATGCCAGGCACAATTTTCTGCTCACGCAAGCAATCTACAAACTTCTTCCCACCTATTGTTGACTGATAAAGTGTTTCCTCGAAAAGAATGGCACCCGAAATATATTCACCAAGGCCAGGAGTTGTGAGCAGCAGTTGTCTGTAAGCCTGGCGGTTGGGCTCAGTATTGTCTAGGCCAATAGAAGATAATCTCTTCCCACAGGTAGCATTTGATTCATCTATTGCTAGGATTCCGCGACCAGGTGATGCAATAGCTTTCTACATCAAGAAGAAAACAAATAGAAACAATTTAGCGGAGTCTAATCCAGCAATCAACTAGAGCAGTCCTTAAACTTTTCTTATACTATAACTTCCATCCGAGCATCAAATATTAAGAAGCTGCTCTAATCTTGCGTGTAAAGGAGACATAAATTGATAATAGAAACGGACAGAAATCCAGCATTCAAAAATGAATTCCACCAAGATTTCAAGTCACAGAAATTCCTCCA